TACTTTAATTCTCTTTAAGTCACTACAGGATGGGCTTCCATCCTCACCATGCCTCTTGTCAAGATCAGTAAAAACCCCCATATTATCCAATCCAGTGACTTCTCTGTCCTTACACTTGACCTCTCAGTGCCATTTGACAGCTGAGGGCTTCCTCTTTCTAGAAACTTCCCCTCTTGCCTTCCAAGACATTACTTTCTCCATTTTTCTCCCATCCACTGGCTCACAATCTCAGTTTCTCTCTCCTAGTCCTCCTCCTCCTCTAATACACCTCTTACTATTAAGTTTTTTCAAGCATCCATCCTGCTTTTCTCTCTCTCTCCATAAGTCAGAGGTTTGCAAAACGGATAGAACCAACCCCCAAGAGGCTTTAGAAATTTCTAGCAGTGTTTTTGGGGAAAATTATGGCATTATTTATAAATAGCATTAATATATAGCATGTAATGAAGAAGAGCCAGAGTTGTTAGGTATACTACAATGCAAGAAAGTCCCCAACAATGAAGATTTGTCCCATGTTATGACTTCAAAATGTCCCACCAGATAGTCATATGGGTAAGAAATTTACCTAGACCCTAACTCAGTTTTACAGATAAAAAAACCATCATGGGATTTCAATATATGTTAATTTTCAAGAACTACAACCATCATGTAAATTAAGAGGCAACTCTATTTCCCATGAGTCAACTATTTTGGAAAATCTGATAACCAATGACAATGACGATCTATCTGAGATGCCGAAACTACACAACTGTCTCACTCTGTGTGAGGAGCAGTAATATTCATGTGATTTTACATATAGGTGAGGCACTCCCTATCCTGTGTCCCAGCTTTATTTTCTCCACATGGGGGACTTCTTGCTATCTAGTATATTTTATCTTTTACTTAATTATCTTCTTTATGAACTCCCTTCTCTCACTAAAATGTAAATTCTACAACTGAAGAAATTTTTGTTTTATTCACTGCTATATCCCCAGCATCCAGTACAATGTCTGATACATACAAAAAGGCTCAATAAACATTCATTGATTCAATGTTACTTCATGTTTTACGCTATGGTCATGAACAAGTATTTCCATATTGAAATAACAAAAAAATACTTTTATTTGAGATATATTAGAGTTTGAGCATTGTATCGCTTTTTTGAAATTATTGAATATAGATAGGTTTTCTGAGCTAAAGAATGTCATGCCAGGGTAGTAAAGGGGAGATTTCAAAATGCCTGAATAAAGGGGGTGCTAGGTCTCACAGAGTTGAGAAACAACATCCTGCATGAGCTCATTTTTAACTCAGACCTCTCTTTTGAATTCCAAAGTCACAAACCCAACTACCTTCTTGACAACTCCAATTAAAGGTCCTCAAACCTAATATAGACATCTCAAACCTAATATGCTCAAAGGGAAATTGATTCTCCTCATTCAATCTCTGCCATCCCCTTGGAGTCTCAGAAAATTACTCAATGACTCCAGAAAGCTAGGAGTCATCTTTTAGTCTCCCTTTCCCTGGTCCCCGACTCCAATCTACCAACAAATCCCCTAGAGTCTATCTTCAAAATATATGCACAATTCATCCACTTCTCTCCATTACCAAAACCATCACCTTGGCCCACATCACTTTGTTATTTGAACTACTACAGAATCTCCTATTAACGGTTGCCTGCTTCCACTCTTTCCCCTTCAATCCATTCTCCACCTAGCAACAAAAGTGCTCGTCTGAACAACTGCTGCCCATTGAATTCTCCTAATCATGGCCTATAAGGCCTTGCCTAATTGGCTCTTTGACTAACTCTCCAACTTCATCTTACACCACTCTCCCCTTCACTGACTACATGTCAGCCACATACATCTTCCCTCATTTCCTAAAACATACCAAACCTCCTCAGGGTCTTCCCTCTACTGATGAGCTCTTCTTCAGCTTCTCCTCTGCCGACCGCCTCCCCTACACACACACAAATACACTCCCTCAGCAGCTGGCTCTTCTCATCCAGCAGGTCTTATACTTGACTGACACTTTCTCAGAGGCCTCCCCTGATTACTCGACCTAAAGTAGGTGTTCCCTATTATTTGCTTTCTATTGTTTTCTTTCAGGGCACTCATCATAATTTGTTAATTATATACTTATTTCTTTGCTTTTTAAATGCCTGTCTCTCCCACTAACATATAAGCTCCATAAAAGCAGGAACCAAGTCTGTCTTGTTCACCATCTATATATTCATGCATTGGCTAGACCAGTGACTAGCACAGAGCCCTGCAAATAGCAGACACTCAATTTGTTGAAAGAAGGAAGTAATGAGTCACCCTTGAATCTGCCCCTTCCTCCCCAGCAAAATCCACTTACTTATCAAAGCCTGACAATTTTAACCTAAGAAATGTCCCTCAAATCTTTCTCTTCTAAACCATTCCCATTCCCATATATTGCCTGGTTAATTTTGCCACTTTCTTAACTGATCTCCCTGCCTCACTTCTCATCTGTCCAGTCCATCGACAGCATCACCCTTCAGGTTGTCCTACAAAGAAATCATCTAATACAGCAGTTCCCAACCTTTTTGGTACCAGGGACCATTTCCAAGGAAGATAATTTTCCCATGGACCGGGATGAGGGGCTGGTTTCGGGATGATTCGGGCACATTACATTTTTTGTGCAGTCAAACCTCTCTGCTAATGATAATCTGTATTTGCAGCCAGTCCCCAGCACTAGCATCACCGCCTCAGCTCCACCTCAGATCAGGCATTAGATTCTCTTAAGGAGCGTGCATTCTCATAATCTAGCACACTAGATTCTCATAAATCACTCGCATGCAGTTTACAGTAGGGTTCACGCTATGAAAATCTAATGCTGCTGCTGATCTGACAGGAGGCGGAGCTGAGGCGGTGATGCGAATGATGGGGAGCACCTATAAATACAGATGAAGCTTAGCTTGCCTGCTGATCACCTCCTGCTGTGCAGCCCAGTTCCTAACAGGTCATGGACTGGAATTGGTTGGCAGCCCTGGGCTTGGGGACCCCAGATCTAATAGACACATGATCCTATTTTATCTCTGCTTTAAAAGTTCCCCTGGCTTACCCCTGCTTATAGAATAAAGGAAAAATAGTACAGAAAATGAGGATTAACTCCAATCTACCTTTCCAGTCTCATCCCCCACAATCTCCACTACTCACACATCCCCTTTCACACCAGACATGTCGCAAACTAAGAGGACTCCCTGAACATACCACGTATCCCACTCTGTGCCTTTACCTCTGATGTTCCCTTTGCCTGGTAAAATCCTGGATGTTCTTCAAGGCCCACCTCAAATGTAACTTTCTTAGGAAGCCTTATTAAACCTTCAGAAACATAATTAAGATTCTACATTCAAATAAAATATTCATCACCTTGTCTGGAGAGGCAGGATTAGCACAGTGATTAAGAAAACAGACTGCCAGGCTATGGAGGTTTATAAACTAAGTAACTTTAAGAAAATTATTTACAGTCCCTGGACCTCAGTTACCTCATCTATAATATGGGATAACAACAACGTTCCTATAGCAGGACTGTTGTGAGGATAAGAATTAAAAAGTACTTAGCACAGATCTAGCAATACTGAGACTGAACAAATGCTGACTATTAGATATTAAAATAAACTGTGTCAGTCTCTGAACTACCTGAAAGCAAATATTATGCTTTGGTTATCTGTGTATCCCCTGTTCCTAACATCTGGCACAAGGGCACTCAGAATTTTCTCCAATGAAAATGAAGTTGGGATTAAGAATCACCAGTATGGGCCGGGCATGGTGGCTCACACCTGTAATCCTAGCACTCTGGGAGGCCAAGGCGGGCGGATTGTTTTGAGCTCAGGAGTTCGAAACCAGCCTGAGCAAGAGCAAGACCCCATCTCTACTAAAAATAGAAAGAAATTAATCGGACAACTAAAAATATATAGAAAAAAAAATTAGCCGGGCATGGCGGCACATGCCTGTAGTCCCAGCTACTCGGGAGGCTGAGGCAGAAGGATTGCTTGAGCCCAGGAGTCTGAGGTTGCTGTGAGCTAGGCTGACGCCACGGCACTCACTCTAGCCCGGGCAAAAAGAGTGAAACTCTGTCTCAAAAAAAAAAAAAAAAAGAATCACCAGTATGACAGTATGTGGGGTGGGCGGGACTACAATTATTAGGTTAGAAAACCTTTAGGGAACATCAAGAATATTTTATATTGAGAAGAAATCAAGCTGTATATTATCATTTATCTATCAGCTCTAAGCATTAATAGCCCAAATGATTACTGCTCTAATGCTCTGGCTCATCACGACTATTTTTATTACAATTTTTATTTGGCTTCTTTCAGGCTTTGAGTTATTACTTTCTGGGCCCTAGGCCTGTGCTAATTTGCATGACTTTTAAAGTAATCATTAGATTTAAAAAGCAATTCTGCAATTTAAACCCACGACGCTTAATTGACTTCCTACCTCAAGGCACTAATTTACCCTGAAACAGCTCCAGACCTACCAGTTTACACAAGAGCAGAAAGTGTTACAGTTGTGTTTTAGAACTTACACTGATGATTCAGAAAATGTTAGGCTTAAGAGCGGATCTCCCAGCATGGTAGGTTTCCAAGTGCCCATAAAGGGTTGTGTAGGTTTTTAAACATGATGTCCACCACTCTGGCCTAAAGAACCACCCCTCCCCTCCCGAGAGGGCGTGCGTGTGTGTTTTTCGGTGGCTGCTCGGCCACGCCCTGGGATTTCCTGACTGGCAGGTGGCCCGTTGATGAGTCCTGACATCGGGGTCACCCCGGCATGCAGAACAGCAAGAGCCTCCCAGCGTGGCGGACAGCGCCGCGAACGCCTGCGAGCCGTGAGCCCATCACATGGGCTGGGGTCTGGCGGTCATCCCTCGTGGGAGAGCTGGCCAAGCACGGCAGGCAGGAGGGCAGTCCAAAGGGGAATGTGCGCGAGGGGCTGCGGGCGAGGTGGGTAGATCCTTCACAGGGCTTGGCGCTCCCTGTGTTTTGAGGGGCAGGATCTTGCACCAACCTCCACGAAGGCATCAGTCAGGTCACTAGCACGGTCCATCACTGGCAAATGGCGCCCGGCCACGATTTTCACCTTCAGCTTCCCAGGCATCGTCTCGGCTTCGGCCTCTGCTTGAGCTCCTGCAGAAACAAACAAATGAGTCTGCGCCGAGCGCGGGGCCCGCCGGGGGAGGGGCGCAGGCGCGCGGGGAGCGGCGCGCGCCGGCGGGAGCGCGCGGGGTAACTGACAGCGGAGGGCGCGCGGGGGCGCCGGGCCGTCGCGCAGCGGGCTGCCACTCACTCTCGCAGGAGAAAGGGGGCCGTCCCGCGCGGGCGCTGAGGCCTCATTCCGGAGAGGCAGCCGGAGTAAGGAGCCCGATGGGTTCTTCTCCTCTGACCCCACAGTGCTGGAAAGAGAAGCAAAACCCAGTCAGCATCGCGTTGAGTCTCTGCCGCACCTGCTTGTGTTTCTCCTCCCCCCAAAATGGCGGCTCTCGGGGCGTGGAGGAAGCATCGATCACTCGGCGCTCTGCCCACTTGGCGGGGGAGAAATTAAATTCCCCGAAAAGAGATGAAGGGGGTGGAACTGACTTGGAGGAAGCGGGAGGGCAGGGAAGTAGGTCGAGTCCTGCATCATCCACCGAGGGGGAAGGTGGAGGGTGGGTTGGTGCGGTGCTGCTGCCTTCGAGGCAAACGCGCCATCCTCCCAGGACTACGCGACCGCCCGGGCCTTCCGAGCTGCAAGCGCCGCGTTTGGGAAGGGCTGTGACAGAAGTAGCAGCAGCGGAGACTTGCTAGAAGAGCATTTGCAGTCGACCGTTAGTGAGTGGTTCATAAAACCGATCTGGTTTCTACCCGGCAGGGGTACAGGTGCGGTGAAGGTTTTTGTCTTCTATGAAACAGAGTAAGAAATATCAGAGACATCTCTGATAATGGAGTAAATGTTATTTCGTGAAACTGTTGATTTGGTCATAAGTACTTTGAAATCGAAAGTCACGGCTTGAAAAGTTTGCCTTGCACTCTAAAATTGTCTTATTGTGCTTATTACGCAACTACACGCCTAAAGACCTACACTGCTGGCAGAAGTAGTTCAGGGCTTCCTACCGTGGGCAAGTTTAGTCAACTACGAGAAATGAACCCGAAGAGCATTAAACATCTTGAAGACTTGACCCAATTGTACGTAGGTAAACGTGCTAAAATGAGGCATTATCTATAGGCTCAGACCATCTGAAAAAGGTTAGGGAAATTGAGGCACACAGAGGACGTAACACAAATCACTCCATACAAAATATCAAAAGAAATACGAAAACCAGCATTAGCAATATACTCCCTATCAAATACCAAAATCAGCGTTAACAATGCCGGTGGAAAGATTATAACACTGGAATCGTTAGGAATGGAAAATTCCTAAATGACGGTATCGGCATGATATTTTTAACTTCAAAAATACTAAACAGGGTAGATTTAGTACTCCAAGCAGTAGTGAACCAGAATTACCTTTTCAAGGCCAAAGTTCCTTTTATAGAAGGAATATTGTTCACATAAGCAGGGGAAAAAGAAACCATAACCAAAGGAAAAGGAAACGACTTCCTCAAAATAAAAATCTAAAAAAATAAATAGCTGAGTTTTTGAACTAGAGATACCATTATCTATTCAAACTTTGTCAAAAAGATAGAGGCCATATTTCCCATGCAAATTTCCATACATCCACCTGCAGCTTTTTCTACAGTTTGAGTTTTCTTTTAACATGCTCTTGCCAAATTCTGAAGGTTGGCTGGTCATTTAGGGTTGTAGGATGGAAATAGCTTTTTCTAATGAAATTAGAGTATTACCATATTACCAGTTCATTTTTTAAATACAGAAATGTATAAAGAAAAACTAGTAAGAAACCTGAAGTTTAGCAACAATCTCAATGAAAGATAATGCAGTGGTACATTACAAGATGTTGTAATGTAAAAAATATTTGCAAATTGCACAATTAGAGGTTAGCAATCTCAGCCTCCTAATTAGTAGACTGTAAGGTACTTGTACGTACCTGTTGCCCTAGGCTTCATCAACAGGGGATTATAATTAAGATGTTTCCTGAAGGCTGTTTTTAGTGGAATTAAGCTTGATTTCAGTTTAACCGTTTCCTAATAATTGTACTAGTTTGTTTTAATTAATGCTGGGAACAGTGCTGTCTTCTGACAAATCTGTGGTGATCTGACTCCTGATTACCTATCCTGCTACTCTTTTTGCATTTTAAATTCTACAGTAATATGAGTTAACTTGCGTTGTTTGCTGTGTGCCAGGTGATGAATTCAGTGCCTCACAGCTTTTAAGCCTCCCTAAAATCCTATGAGATAGGAATTATCAGCCTTCATTTTATAGATTAGGAAACTGTGGTTCTGCAAAGCTGTGGTGATTACCTAAGGTCACAGAGCTGGTAATGATGGAGGCAGGATTTAAATCTAGGCAATATGATTCCAAGAACCCATGCTCTTTAAAGGCTACATGTAGTTTACCAGGAAACTATGCTTTTCCTGCTGCCTGGAATACCTTTCTCATAGTCATCCCATAAAACACTTAAAAAATAGTGTTTAAAATTAATTAAAATGAATAACCCAGTTCAAAAATCACTTCTATATCTTTTCTGATCTTCCTAATAAACATACTGTCCACTGTCACCTATATTGCTACTAAATCTACATTTATTATTGCACTTTCCATGTGGTAATTATTTGTCTGTCTCCTACCAAACTTTGAGGACCTTAAGGAAAAAGACTGTTTCTTATTCATCTCTCAATTCTCAGTTCTTTGCCCTGTGCCCTTCATTTAATCAACAAATGCTTATGGAATTACATGGAGTAACAGTTACCACCCATACTATTGCTGCTTTGCTTTCTCTTCTGCCTTGGCTTCCTAAAATGTTCCTTTTGATCTCTCACTATCCCTGCAAGGTTAAACTTCTCAAGGGTTGTCTGTACTTGCTGCCCTCTCCTTACCTCCTAGACACTCCTAAACGTATTTATATCTGCATTTAGTTACCACAACACGCCAAAACACAGCTTCCACTAACATTATCAATAACCTCTGGTTGCTAAATCCAATGGACACTTTTCAGTTTTCATTTTACATGACTCAGTAGCATTTGACTCTGTTGACCACACTCTCCTTAAAATACTCTTCCTCTTGGTATTGAGATACCATGTTTCTCTTACCTATTCTGCTATATACATCTGTCTTCTCAGCCTACTCATTGTCCTTAACTATTAAATATGTGTTTCTCTGAGGTTCAGTTTTTGGCCCTATTTTCTACTAACTATACTCTCTCCCTGGGTGATATCATCCATGCTCATAATTTAAATTTCCATATGTTTAGCCAAGAACTCTCAAATTTTTGTCTTTAGCCCCTAACTTCCTTCTGAGATCTTGACCCATATGCAACTTTGTAGTTCCTATTTCCATTTGGTGTATCAAAGTGACCTCAATGTCAAAATGTCCAAAATTGACTTGATTTTCTTTACCTTCCCCATAACTACAACAACAATTACAAAAAAATCAAAAAATCCTAATCTTCCTCTACTGTGTTCTCCATCTCAAACAGTAGCAATAGCAACTACATATTCAATTGTTCAAGCCAGAAACTCACTGATTTAAATTTGAAGGTGTGTACAAATGACAACTTGGACTTGGTTACTTTTGCTTTGATTTACTTATAAAGCAGTAAATCAGCTGTGCTGAGACTAAAAATGCAATTAAGTAGGCAGCTAGTTATCCTCATCTTCCTGTTGGTTCCGTTGTATCTCATAAAGGCTTGCCTAAGATACCATGGGAATAAGGGCCACATTGAATAAAATAACCTCCGGACTGGAAGATTATTGAAGTAGAACACATTGCTTAGTGTCAGTACCCATCAATGCATTCAGTGAGCAATGGTACCCAGGTATAATGGGCAGGTACTTTCTTTTTGTGCCAGCACCAAGACAAGCTTCCCTTATTAGTGCCTGTACTGCGAAGCTTGAAGATTTTCCATTTATGTCTACTTAAAGGCCTTCTAGAAAACTCTAGCCACAACTGACAGTTACCTTTAACTCTTCCTCTCCTTCAGCCCTGACACCCAATTAATCACCAAGTCCTTTTGTTTATAATTCATAAAAGTCTCTCAAATTCATCTATTTTCCACCATTGTCTATCGCCAGGAAGACTAGTATCCCTACTAGCACTCGTGCTTTTTTTCTAATGCATTCACCACAAAGCAGCCCAAGTGAGCTTCTTTAATAGCAAATTCGAATAAATATTTAAGGTGATGCATATCCCAATTACCCCGATTTGATTATATATATCAAAT